CTAATTTAAATTGACTGGATAGATTTTTCGTTTTGACATTTTCTAAAATTGCTGATTTTAACGCCATTTTGAGCCGTCTTTCATTACAATGTAATTTTCTTTTATTAAAAAAATTCAGAAAAATGAAATATACTTGTGGAGGGGCCGTGGCTGTTATGTTGTTGATAGAAGTCAGATGTAGAAGAAACGCATGTAAGGTTCAGATTCTCCTGCTCGCCGGGCCCAACTACATAAAAAGGTTGGACTTTGATTAAGTCCAAAGAAGAAGGTAAAGAAAGCAAACAAAACACAAGACCGATAATATATGTATATACAAATATATATTAATAACAAGTTACAATACATGGAAACAGTACAAAGGACGAAGTGTGTGTGAATATTTTATATGTGCGTGCGTGTGTGAATATTCTGTATGTGCGTGTGTGTGTATGTGTGCTTAGCGTGTTTCCACGCTATTCCTTTTGTTAGCGCCTACTATTCGAGGTTGATAGCTGAAATCCTGAAGGAAAAGAGCGATTTACCTCAAAGTGTCGGCACAGGCCTGAAGGAAAAAGAGATAGAGGCGAAGGGTCAGCGGCTATTTATAGCCAGGGGAAGAGACCCCTGTTGAAAGGGTTAACGGACTGACGGAGGAGTTAACTCCGACATACTTTTCAGAAATTTTATTTGAAGGATATTAGATGACTTAAGGTTTAATTAATCCTATTTGAAAAAAAATGTGTTACTTTTATTTTAAATATCGCGGAAATGCATTTTTAACACGGTGGTAGCTGTTCATTTAAAAAGTGTTGACATCTTGACTGACAGACGGTGAGTTTATTAAATTTTTGTTCTACGGTTGACGTATCTGTAAATTTTACTTGAGGAATATAACGTTAGCGGCTTTTTAATATAATTTGTAACTACCGAGTAATCTTTAAAATTTTGGAAAATGTTCTCCATAATATAATGTTTTATGGAATTTTAGATTCTGCGTCTTTAAATTATTATTATTATTATTATTATTATTATTATTATTATTATTATTATCGCCCTTATTTTCTAATAACGTTGTGTTTAACGTACTTACAAAAATCGGCATGTTTATACACACAAAAATATATTCAAAATATTAGTGGTCGATGAATTGTCGTAAGCTTTTATATTTATAATTAGTACGGGGGAGTAATGGATAGCGGATCGGATTGAGAAATCGGAGAGCCGAGTTCGAATTTCAGTAGAATCCATTACATTCACTTACGTGCTAACAATACCCTTAAGAAAGGTATGAATCCTCTTCTTCTTCCCCCAGCTATGAGTAAATAGCAGGAGAGACCGGGTTCTATATCCTTGGATGGCGACAAGTCTACTGCAGAAAGAAATGGCAACCTACTGCGGGAAAAAACTGCCTCGTCAGTCATGCATCGAAAGAAACATGATCGCCTAAGCGTGTATTACGCATGGCATTTAAAGAAGAAAAAATATATAATTTTTACTTAATAACACCTAACCGAGACAAAGTAATACAGAAATTTAAAAGATTTAAAACTTTATAAATTAATTTAATTAAAATTTTTAAGAAAAAGAAAACAATTCTTGTAAAAATTCATTATTCATCGAAATTTTTTTTTTCTTAAGACAATATTTTCCATAATCTATTTTATTTATAAAAGCAATTAAAAGCTTTTCTAATTAAATAATGTCTTAGTTTTATTGCATTTTTTTATTTTACGATTCAGAGCAGATTTTTGGCAATTGTTGATACTGTTTTACAAAAATAAATTGATTTAAATTCTCCAAGGAATTCTGCTTTATACTAACATAAACTTTAAACGGGACAAAATTTAATTTCTCGAAATTCCATAAATTTAAATAAGTGGGTGGGTAAGAAACGTAAAAATTATTTTTAACAAGATTTTCTAAAAAAAAAAATATTTCTAAAATAATATAATTCATTTATGAATAAGACCTGACAGTTTCATTAAAATCGGACAATTATTTGATTTTTGCAAGAATTTCCAAATCAATGTTTTTCACCGCAAAAAAAAAATACGCTGCAGTTTCCTAGACTAATCTTTGGTCTACCCGATGACGGAAAATTATTTTTTAAACAAAATTTCGAACGTTAAAAAATCAAAAAATATAATTTAATAATCAAAAAATCCTTTCGTCTTTCCTCTTAATAATAACATACAGATTTTGACAATAAATAAAAGTTTGTTTTATCCAGTTTGTGGTATTTTTCATCATGGTATACTAATATTTTAGCGAATTAATGGCGCTACCTAAAAGAAAATAATACTAATCAAAATGAAGCGCGTATGATCAAAGAAAATAGTGCAAACTTAAAATTGAAAATATTATTCATGACAATATATTATTTAGATTTTAAGGAAAGCATAAAATTTGCAAAAAATTATTTAAGATGTTTATACCAGTTACTATTTTAATATCATTTTGTTTAAAGTATGATCTGTCGTATTGAGTATCATCTTAGCTTCAAAAGATAATGTTATCAAAAACCTACATTTTGATAAACCGAATTTAATTTTAGTCAATACAGCTGATATAATAATTAGACAAGGTAACGATGAATAAATTTCCCCCATTTTAGCATTTTTTAATCGAAAGAACTCTTTCCATGGTTGACATTGCCAAAGAATTAAGTTGTTAAATCTGAAAGAAAAAGAAAAGATCATTAGACGCTTAAACTTAATTCACATTTAAAATCGGTCGAAGTTATTGGAACACCCTTTATATATATATATATATATATATATATATATAAATAATAGGAGTAATAGGGTTTCCTTATTGTCCGGTTTACACTCTCCGGTCTTTTGAACGGGGGTAGAGGTTTATTCCTTGTTTTCTGTTTAGGATTGGTTTTCTGCTTCCTTCTAATGTCTACTTCATATGTTCCACTAGATAGAAAGAAAGAAAGAAAGAAATAAAGAAAGAAAGACAAAGAAATAAAGAAATAAAGAAAGAAAGAAAGAAAGAAAGAAAGAAAGAAAAAGAAAGAAAGAGTTGGTGTGCGGGACGGATAGGGATAGATATAAACAAACTTTTAAAAAAAAATTAAAGTGGATCGGACGGTGAACTTCCAACCTTCCCTAGTAGAACTTCTTTTTTTGTTGTTTTCCGATGTTCGGATATTTACTTTCGTTCGCATTATTTGCCTTCTATATAAAGCGTTACTCTTTGCTTAACATATAAAAAAATGTATTTTTATTATTTTAAAAATGTTAAATTTGTATAAACGGATAATCGTCTAAGTTGTTTTTATTATACACGTTTTTTAAGAGAAGTGTATTTTTATGAAGGCCAGACGGTTTGTGCAAAAATTGTTATATTTTTATGACCTTTTCGACTCAGTGTCTAAAATCGTTAAAATTTTTGAACTATCCATTTCCAGTTTACGGAAAGTTGTTTTTTATATATACTGACAATAAGAGACGTAATCTCAAGTTCTAAAACATCCCGAATAGTGGGGCAGAGATAAGCCGAATTTTTACAATAGAACTCGGGTCAAAAGATACAAAGAGAAGACCTTCAACGACAAGGCGGTCAACATCAAAGAAGGCATTTGTCATCAAGAAGAGAACATCAAAGATGGCACCAGTCATTAGCCAGCCACAGAGAGACCAAAAGTTCAAGTGAAAATTCTCTTGTTGTTGGATAGCCAAAATGAAAAGATTTCTAAGAAATTTTCCCAAGCACAAACTATGTGAAGTTAAAACTAAAAGGAGACTTTTTAAAAATCACTGTATCCCAGACTAAGTGAAAATGAAAGTGGAAGTGAAAGTGAAAGTGAAAGTATGTCATTTCATATTTTTTTTTCTCAAAGGCTGTTGCACCTTTATAATTTTACTGCTTTTTTGTATTGTTTTCCCCGTTTTGTCCTTTTCAAAATCCTTGTCTTTTCCCCAAATGTATTTTTTCCCATTTTTCACTGGTAATCTTTTTTCTGATATTGTTATCCTGCAGGCGGACAACAGGAAATTTTTGTGCAAACTTTGCATTTGTATATTTCTTCCAAATTGTGTAAATAAATGTGTTTTTCCTTTTTGAAATTTTACGCAGTGGTTGTCTTGTTTTGTGATTTTGCGTCTATTATTATGTCTTGCTATTTCTTTTTGTGTTTGGCACCAGAACTTGGATTTAGTAGGAAAAACTTATAGACATTGCTATCTGCAAATTATGAATGATTGTCAGTTCGCAGAGTTACTTCCCTTGGTGATTAAGTCGCTCAATCAAATGTCGATATATTTATTTGCCCCCAAACTAAAAATAATTCCCGATGCTACAATGGCAGTCTAAAAAATACACCATCCGGTTGTTCATCGATTTTCATGCTCTTAAATAACCAGTTTAATCGATGTTTGTCATTACAACAATATCTCTGATCACAATGACGTCAATGTGGAAGCGAGTAAAAAAAAGGAGGGCTAAAAAGATAATCGATATATATATATATATATATATATATATATATATTTTCAGTAATGTTCATTTTTTACAAGACCAGGGACCAACGGACGTAGAGAGATACGTTAGTAGGCAATTTATGCGAATAGGAATGGAAGATAACGGTTAACTTTGAATAAGTTAACATTATAGTGATCGGGGAAGCATCTTCCTGGGAGTCGTTTCCACAGAGCAGCAGTTCGCGGGAAGAAGCTGTTCGAGTAGAACTTAGTTCTCACAGACGGAATACGAATGGAATGTGGGGGGGTGCTACAATATTAGTGGCATGACATGTGATGGTTTGACTTGGCGGGACCAGGGAATGTAGTTCGTCCGAGCACTTTCCGTGGAAGTAGCTGTAGAACGGCGAGAGGCTTGCTACATCCCGCCTGTAAGAGAAAGGTTGGAGGGTGGAGAATAATTCGTCACCCACAAGGGCTCGGAAATTACGCTGAATTTTCGCTATCCCGATGAACGGGAGATCTCTCAAGCTTCGGGCGCCTATTGGAACTTAAGTTCAACCCGAACCTCAAGTAGAATTAGCACATAAGATCTTTCGCTAAAGATACTGAAAAATGGTCTGGTCCCTGTACCGCTCCAGTAAGTACCTGACTCCTGCTGGTATCATCTTCCTTTACAAGAGCCAGATCAAGCCAAAAACGGAATACTGATGCCATATATGGGATGGAGCTGCCCAGTCTTCACTTTCCAATCTTGATAGAGCTCAAAATCGTCTACGCGGCTTTGTGGATGATGAATTATTTTCAACCCTACAACCCTTTTCCTCATAGACAAAAAATTACAAGCCTCTCTCTAGTCTATCGCTATTCCCATGGAAGGTGTTTCGACGAACTACTTTCCTTAGTTTTACTAGTGATCACTACAATCTTAACCTGTTCAAGTCTAGGTTTAATTATTTATCTATCCTCAGAAAACCATGACTAGAAATGAGCGATATTGTTTTCTTTTAAGTAAATAATAAATAAAACAGACCTTGATAAATTAAACAGGAAGTTTAACAAAAAGAAAAAAAGAAAAGCCAACCAATCTTCCCTGAAGATGATGTGAATAGACATTGAAATATATTGAGGTGATATAAAACTAATTTGACCCAAAGAAAATAACTTTACTCATTAGTTTCACCAGTTCTAACTTTCATAACTGAAACTGACCAAGCTACACACACTGTTGCAAACCACCTTCATTCCCTTTGTATTCTATTGGTGAGATGTAAGTTCCACTTGAACATCTTCCCATGTGGAACCAATTCCCAACAGGATGCTTCCCTGATCACTCCAATCTTAACCTGTTCAAGTCTAGGTTTAATTGTTATCTTCCCCATATATCCTCATAAATTGTGTCCCTTAACATTTACACTGTAACTCTCTACCTTATGTAGCTCTCGAGCATTGTACAAGGTGAACATTATTGTAAAAGAAAAATTAAAAAAAAATAAAGGCAGTGTATGGCATTCTACAAACACCAATTAATCTCAAATTGTAGACATCGATAAAATATAACCAATGCATTTTAGAAGACTGCTAGCTGTAAACATGTCCATACTTGTGAGTATTCTCTTAAAAAATTGTCCCTTGTTGCAGGTTACCTCTCTACATTTGGATACAGTTTTCTTGGCTCCAAACAGCAGGGCAGACATGAATCCCTATAATGTAAAAGAAAATCAACAAAATCTCTTGCTATTGTGTGGTACTGCAGTGATGCTTTGTGTTTGTGATAATTGTATTTCAGCTCAAAACCATGCCAGACCCCAGGCTCTTCATCTGAAAAAAGTCATAGTTGTATCAGTTTACTATGTCAGAAATGGACCTGAATACTTTTGTTTATTACGTGCTTTCTTGTTTGGACTGGCATGTTTCTTTTTGTTGCAACTTTATCACTATTTCCATGGCAAATATTCAGATGAAATACATTCCTTAGTTCACACCAGTTCAGGCCTTTACAGCTAGGAATTGCCATGCCACATACACAGAGTTGAATTATCATCATTCCTTTCATATTCCACTGGTAAAAAAAAAGGTCTACTCAGATTGCTTCTTCCTAAGAACAGAATCCTGTGAGGATGCTTCCCTGATGAATACAATCTTAACCTGTTCAAGTCTGAGGTTAACCGTTAACTTAAATGTACTTTGTTGAACGCCTTTGCATAGTCTATAAAATATAGGTGCCCGTCCTTCTGCATTTGTATCGCTCTTTCTGATAACGTTCTGAGCATGAATATTGCATTTCTTGTTCCAGTGTCTTTAAAGAACCCGCACTGTTCTTATCCTATCTTTATCCTGATTCTGCTGCGCGCTCTATTCATCAGAATACAGATGAAGAGTTTTTTTTTATGTGCCTCATTAGGTTGATTGTTTGGTGGAGTTCACATTCTTATTAGTTTTATTATTAATTTTATTATTATTATTATTATTATTATTATTAGTTTTGATATTATTAGTTTCATTATTATTATTATTTGTAGTAGTTGTTTTATTATTATTATTAGTTTTATTATTATTATTAGTTTTATTATTAGTTTTATTATTACTAGTAGTTTTTTATTATTATTATTATTATTAGTTTCATTATTATTATTGTTTGTAGTAGTTGCTTTATTATTATTATTATTAGTTTTATTATTATTATTATTAGTTTCATTATTATTACTAGTAAAATCTCTGCTGAGATCTTCCAGTATATCACCATTGTTGTAGATTTCATTATTTATTTCTGTAATCTTGTCTATGCCAAAATCATCTAAGGCTGTCAGCATTTCTGTTAGAATTCCGTCTGGCCCTGCCGCCTTGTTTCTGTTCAATTTGGCCAGTGCAGCTTCTACTTCGGTTTTTAGAATTTCAGGCCCGTCGAAAGTTCTGTGTATTGCTGGTTGTTCATTTTCGTCGCGGAATAGTTTTCCAATATATTCGTTCCAGCACTGAAACATTTTTTCCTTCTCTAATATGAGCGTTCTATCCTTTGATTTTATATAGCCTATTGAGGAACATGACTTCTGTCCTGTTAGATCCCTTATTTGTTTATGCATATCTCATTTGATGGTGGCACTCAATTTCTCTCTATTTCGGCACTTTTTATTTGTTTAGCCACTCCTCTTTAGCCTGTCTGTATTTGGTCCTTTTTTCGTTGTGAAGTTTTCTGTATCCCGTTTCGTATCTTGACAGAGTTTCCTGTCTCTTTTGCGTCATGACGAGAATCTCATCAGTCATCCATTCTTTTTTTTTTTTTTTCTTTCTTCGTCCATTCTCCTTTGGGTTGATATCGTTTGCTGATGTCACTAAAGTTTCTCTTACTGCGTCCCATTCCGCGTCTCCATTTCCATTGTGTCCCTAGTATCTTCTTTTCACACTTTCCATATATTTTTCAGTCGGGTACGGGTCGCTCGGGAGTTTGTTGTATTGCAATTTGGGTGCTGCCTCAGGCTTCTTCAGTTTCCGTAGTTTCACTCTTAGTTTACATATAACAGGGTGATGATCGCTTCCTCAGTCGGCACTTGGGGGAAGTTTTGTAGTGTATCATTGCATTCCTGAATCTTTTGTTGATAGTTATGTAGACAATTTGTTTCTTTTTTTTTTCCTCCTGGGCTCCTCCATGCCCATAATCGTCTCGGATGTTCTTGGAATCATGTGTTGGTCATTGGCCGTGCACCATTGGATCCATTTTTCTCAACGTACGTGGCGGGTTCCTAGTCTGAATTTTCCAACTATATACCCTGCCTTCTCCCTTCCTACTTTGGCGTTCAGGTCTCCCATGATAATTATGACTTCTTATGATTTGTAACGAGCCTTGGCTTTGTCAAGCATGGAGTAGAAAGCTTCAATTTCTTATTACTTACTTTATGCTGTCGATACATACACTATTATGATAGCTATGTTGAAAGTCTTTCCTTTCAGCTTGACTACCAGAATCCTTTCGGATAATTAGTAGTATCCAACAGCGCATTTCTTAAATGTTTTATCTAGTATTAGTCCTACTCCTTTGTCATTTTTCTCTCTGCATAAATAATCCTATGCTTGTCGCCGACGAAATCTCCGTTGTTTGGCTACCTACTTTCACATATGCCTAAGATGATGTTTTTTTTTACATAATGATGTTACGAGTATTGTTTATTAAGTAAAAATCAAAAGATTTGGTCAAGCAAAAAATTTTTTAAAAAACTGTTGCATTAACCTCATCTATGAGTTAAGGAGGCTAGACTGGTTGACAATCAATACTACAGAGGAACTTGAATCCTCTTTGGGTACTTCAAATTTATGTTCCTGAAAGTAGCAAATTATATGATGGAATATACAATTTAGATGAAAGATGGCATAAGGTCATAGAAAGACACTTCGGTGACTGAATATTGATGCTATGAATTTATATGAATAAAAGATTTGCTCAAAATATGTTGGGAACCTTTCTATCCATGTTATATGATGGAGAACACAAATAAACTGAAATATGGCATAAGGCCATGGAAAGGCTGGGAAACAATTCGGTGACTGAATGCTGATACTATGAATTTATATGAACAGAAGAAATGATTAAAAAAAACATGGATGCAACGTCGCAAGCCTATGTTTGGGTGAACTCTATTCTTTATTTCTACTAGCTCGGACCATTACGGCTAAATTCCGCCTTGCCACGTCCACATGGTCGAATCAGCCTCATTCTATATGTAGTCCTTCTTCCCACAATATTTACATTCTCGTCTGGATGCTTCTCATTACAACTTTAAACTTTTCAAAATTTGGGTCAAACATTATCTATCCTCCATATCCTCATAATATTTACTTTCTACTTCAGCTTCTTAGATGTTACACATCTTATTCAGTAACCCTCTACTTTGAGGGGTTCTTGGGTCTTGTATTGAGAGATCTATAGTAAATATAGATAAATGAGCCTCGCGTTTACTGATCGTAATCTTAGTAAATTTACGGTTTATCAACCTTTTACAGGTTATTTAAAGCTGCCAATTTTTTTTAGACTGTGAGAATTTCTGGAGAATTTTTTTTTTAAATCGAAGAAAGGCAGTAAAACCTCAAAGACACAAAAAGTTACTGGGTGTAATTAGAAAACAGAAACATTACTAAGAAGTGAAAACAAATTGAAGAGTAATCAGTTAGACAGAAGATAACGATTGACATTGCATTTAAATTTTTTATCAGTCGGCTGGAAAGCATGGGGCCAGAAGAGAGAGTCCAAAATCGAGGAATGCGAGAAAAGAAAATGTTAGTACAGAACTTGCAGTTACCTCAATTCAACTTTAGTTAAACAAGCCCTACGAATTTACTAATATCTGGGGGTGAGAGGAGGTGGATTCATGCCTATAAGTGAATATGAAGAACCCGACTGGAATTGGAACTCGGCTCTCCGATTTTCACTTCAGATGCATTATCCACACATCCAAGCTTACAGAACCTGGTATTCACAAGCGGTTATCCATCTACGTACTGATCAGGCTCGACGTTGCTTAACTTTGGCAATCGTACGAGAACCATTGTTTCAACGTGATACGGCTGTAAGCCATACCACCCTCAAATACGAGCTTAAAGCAACTGATATTCCCAAGCAGTCACCCATCTAGTTACTGACCAGGCTCGACGTTGCTTAACTTTGGTGATCTTATGAGAACCGTTGTTTCGAATAAGCCCGTTTGACTTTGAAAGCGATTGAAGGAAACAACTAATGAATTATTGTACGGATTGAATCTTATAGTTTGGAATTGTTTTCCCTTTCCGACAGAAATTGTTCGATACGCGACTGCAATATTCGTTTGTTTATTTATCCATTCATTTATTAAAATGAATAAAAATGCTTCGTTGTGAGATGCAAATCTATGTGAAAATAACATCGATTCGCGAAATGATTCAATTAAATCTCTAGGTTAAAACACGCGATCTAATTATCTGCAACGCATGACTCCGTAGGGTCTCGTTCTCTTTTGACGCTGTTCATAAAATCGAATTCTATTGATAACCAACATATCAATCGACACGCACGCATGAACACATACACACACACACACACACACACACACACACATATCTCTCTCTCTCTCTCTCTCTATATATATATATATATATATAGAGAGAGAGAGAGAGGAGATAGCTAGATAGCTATATATAACCAATTGAAATGAGAAAGAATAAACTATAAATTCAAACGTTCATAGCATTAATTTAAAAAAAAAGAGCTCAATACAATAGTAGAGCTATAATTCTTTATTATAGGATATTACATTTGAACATATGCATTTATGTAGCGGTCTTACATACATTCGAACGTAATATCCTATAATAAAGTATATATATATATATATATATATATATATATTGATGCATGTTTCATTAAATAATATAGACAAGTTTTGTCTATTTATTTTATGTAAATTCTTTTCTAAGCACGTGCATATGAGAGGCCGGAAACGAAAACAGCACCGCAATTGCTTGCTTCCATGTAAACAAAAACAGACTATCATTATTGTTTTGTCCGTGTATTGTTTAATATATTGTAATGAAATTGTCATCTCTGATAATGGCTAATGTAAGCCGAAAGCATAGATAGGATAAAAAATATGCATCATTATTGTGATTTTCTTTCTTCTTTTAATGATAATGCTATTAAGATTATCAGACGATATGAAAAGAATATTATATATATATATATATATATATATATATATATATATATATATATATATATATATATCACGGTTAAACGCAATCGTAACGTAATACATATTTCATGCTTAAATAATAACCTGTTTCATGCTTAAACACAATGGCCAGGCCATATGGCCTGATTATTGCGTTTAAGTATGAAACAGACAGTCTCTTTGGTACTGACTTCAATGTCTACTTTTATATTGACATATACTCTATCTCTGATATTGAGCAATTTAACCCATAAATATAGCATACCTTAAAACTATATTTTATCAAATATATATATAAATATATATATATATATATATATATATATATATATATATATATATATATATATATATATATATATATATGAAAAGAAAAATACAGAAAAAAACAAAATTCTGAATATGCATTATTAATGTTAAAATAAAGTCGACGTCGGACGTTTCGGTCTATTTAAGACCATCTTCATGGACATTTTCATTTAAACATAATTAACATTATAACTTATAACAATTTAACACAAAGACGATGGACATAAGAGCCCAACTAATTCAAACAGATAATGAAATTTTATACAGATCAGCGTTCTGTTTAAATATGATAATCGTGGGCGATGAATCTTCGTGTCTTAACAACAAAACGACTACGTGATCATATTTAAACAGAACGCTGATCTGTATAAAATTTCAGTTATCTGTTTGAATTGGTTGGGCTCGTCCATCGTCTTGTGTTTTATTGTTATAAGTTATAATGTTAATTATGTTTAAATGAAAATGTCCATGAAGAACTTTATTTTAACATTAATAATGCATATTCAAATTTTGACATACTGTCAGATTTATATCATACTGTCTACTGAAAATACAAACCTGAATTTACTTTATAACGTGGAAGATTTCAAGCTTGGACGAGAATAATAGATTATGGAATGAATTTTTATAACTGTTTTTTTAGAACTATTTGCATCGTTTTTGAAATCATTTTTGGATTTGCATTGTAACGGAAGGACTTTCAAGCTTGTTGAGGATGTAAGAGCCAATTGTTTCACTACGTATTCCAACATCAACGGAAGAGATTTCTTTGACTTTTATAAAATTTTTCAATCGACTTTTGATATTTTAATTTTTGAAATCATCTTCGAATACGTCTTAACAACATCGCCCACGAGACGACTACGTGATCATATTTAAACAGAACGCTGATCTGTATAAAATTTCAGTTATCTGTTTGAATTAGTTGGGCTCTTATGTCCATCGTCTTTTGTGTTAAATTGTTATAAGTTATAATGTTAATTATGTTTAAATGAAAATGTCCATGAAGATGGTCTTAAATAGACCGAAACGTCCGACGTCGACTTTATTTTAACATTAATAATGCATATTCAGAATTTTGTTTTTTCTGTATTTTTCTTTCATACTGTCGGATTTATATCCATATATTTGCTTACACATATATATATATATATATATATATATATATATATATAAATAAATAAAAAGAAAGAACAGTAAGATATAAAATCCGGTGTTCTTATAGATATTTTTAATTCGCTTGAAGGTGAAATGGAACTAATGCTTTTAATTTAATTTCAAAATTAAATTCGAGGTTCTTAGCTTCTATTTTTGAAACATGGTTGGAACTGTGTAGCGAAAAAAACCATATTTTAATCAATATATATATATATATATATATATATATATATATATATATATATATATATATATTATATGCACAGGTAATAATCTGTTTGTATATAATGCAAGTGAATCCTATGAATACAATATTTTATACAATGGGAATTAAGATTACATTAGGTTAATGATCATTTTCACATTGTAAATTGAAATAAAATTTACAAGCATTTTCGAACCAGTCAATGGAAAATAGATTATTGAAACTGTATAATATCTATATATATATATTTATATTTATATATATATATATATATATATATATATATATATATATATATGCAACAAACTTTCTTTGAACTATGTTTTGTTGAATGTGACAGACAAGGAAAATTTAACTTATGTAGCTATGGGATATATATGACATTCTGGTTTCAGTTGGCTGACCTTAAATCCAACAGATACCAACGTCTTTAATATATATATATATATATATATATATATATATATATATATATATATATTTTTGTGTGTGTGTGTGTGTGTGTGTATAAACAAAAAACAACACTTTCGGATTTCTGGTCGTCGGATCTGATGAGGTAATTTACTGGCACCTCTTATCCTCATAAATTCCAAACACACACACACACACACACACACACACACACGCATACATCCATACATGATGATTGAAATGTAACTCCCCATTTTAAGATACTTATAATTTACTTATTAACTATAATTTCTAGAAGAAATGGATATGAGAGGAAAGTGTTTGGCATGAGGTTCTATTTAAATTTCGATCATATCTGCCCATGAAATATGCCTTAACTTAAACAATGAAAGATCGTCGAAGATTTGTTGTTTATAAACAGTAATTTGGACTTTGTCAACCGGACGCTTCTTTGTGGCTGAATGGTTAACAGCACATCAGATCATATGATCGTTTCCCATTAAGTGTTTCAGGTTCGATTCACATCGGAGAAGTAGATATTTTCTACAAAATTTCTCGAATATCAACGCCAGTAAATGTAATTAATACTGTTTAATTAAATTAAAAAAAAAAACAGAGCATTTGCTGAAATAAATTATATCTATAAAAATAGCGTACAAACGGAAAATATAATAAATAATTGTCGGGCTTATCCATTTATATAATATATATATATATATATATATATATATGAAATGGATAATATATATATAATTATTTTAATCCATTTCATACATATTTTATGTTTAATTTATGTTTCATTCTTTTTATCGATATAAATATTTAAGTAAATGCTCTGTTTATAATAAATAGTATTAAACAACATTTACCGGCCTGAATATCCGAGAAATTTTCATAGAAAATATTCGTCTTCCGACAGGATTCGAACCTGTATCCTATACGGAACCGTCATTTAGTTTGACGTGCCTTTACCGATTTGGCCACGAAGGAGCGTTCGGTTAGCAATAAATACAGTAAATTCGCCATTTACGTTTACACGTGATCAACCGAAACTTTTTGGGAAAACAACGAAAATAAAAAAATAAAAAGTTCCACAGTCCGAAAAATGTCTTTGTTTTATAATGACTGTTTGCAAAAATTATAACTAATATCAATTTAAATACTTTATTTTTATTAACTTTTTAATCTTCTCACCCCAAGCAATGCAATAAACCCTCTAAGGCGCAAGCGATTGTCAAGTGTGCGTAGGAATATGAAAAGAAAAGAACATTATTAAGGCCAGAGAACAATCAAAGAAGAGGAAATGAGAAAACGGAAGATAACGATTGATATTGCATTTAAATTTTTGAAGATCAAAGTTAATTTGAAAGCAAGAATTCCAAAAGCCAGAAGCGCAGGAGAAGAAATTTTTAGCATAGAACTTACGATTATATCTAGCTATTCCAACTATAAAATGTAAAAGTACCTAGTTCGAGTTGCAGTCGAGTTCAATTTTGTGCAAATACACTTGGGAAAGATATGAATTCGTCTCTTCTCCTTACATCCAGTCACGCGTTAAACAGCAGGCTAGGTTGGGGTCTCTTACCGGGATTGGCAACCAGTCTAGGAGAAGAACAACTTTGAATGTAAAGCACGGCCACCTGAAGCTATACAAAGGGTTGTTAGACTTTCTATATCTTGTAAATAAAAATAAAACGATAGATTTCAATAACTGTGGATGTTATCGTAGTGCCATTTTCCAGAATGCTGTCGACACGAATAGACAATTGTCCCAAGAAACGTGCGTTATTATTAACACATCTTTCTAGTTCAAATAACCATCCACTGTATAAATAAGTAGCCTGAGTACCTATATATATATATATATATATATATATATATATATATATATATATATATATATATACTAGCAGCATATTGGAGTTGCCCGTGCTTGATTCAAAAATCGTACGACTCATACAGTAATCGCTATCACTTGACTTAAAATATTTTTGCCCTTCCTTGCCTTTAAAGGAGTGCCCTTTGCCGTGCTGATGTTTCTATATGCCTTACTTCTTGCCTATATCACACTGCGAATTTTTTCTAAGCTCTATGCTAAACATTAAATCTGTTACGAAAAAAGAACTAAACAAAATGAACACAAAACGATCAGCTTTAAAAAAGGACTCTAACTGGAAAAACCGAATGAAAAAGAATGTTAACAACAAATACTTTTTTCACACCCAACCCAGTTCTGCAGAATCAGAATCAACGTTGAGTTTAAGCAAGCGAATGAGCCAATTGGAGTAAAGTGCCATGCAGGTTTAATTTTTTTCCCACTTGTGACGAATGCAGCTATCGATTTTTTTTTTTTTTTTTGCATGCTAGCATGCTAGTTAACATTCGTGTCAGTCAGCTGTTGTCTCTCACGCTGGCCAATGGAATCTTCCTGGCTATTCGTGGCAGCCAGCTATATGCTCTCACTCTGGCCAGTACAAAATGGCCGCAAACTACATAAAAACTGTCGTAGAAGCATGAAAAAATCGATTATTTCCACTATCGATGGGAGTTGAGAAATGCAAAGTCGGTCTTGGCCTTTCAGCTAACTTAGAGCATGTGCATGTAAATTTTGGTGCAAATCCGTCGAAAATTGCGGCCGTGCATTCGTTACACACACACACACACACACACACGCACACACATCCTGCCTTTTATAGATAGATAGATAGATAGATAGATAGATAGATAGATAGTAATTCGCCGAGCCTAGAATAATCCTCAACAGAATGCAGAAAGCACTGGACGGCCGTTTCGTTTTTCTTTGACCATTTTCCAGATCTCTGAATTAAGTCTTTCTCCATCCTTAAATACAGGACTCGCACTTTGACTTCTTAATAGCAGAATTGGCCGAATGAATAGAGTGTTCGCTTTTTGATCCTGGGGCCTGGGTTCGAATGTCAACCTCGTCGATTTATCAGGAAGGTGACATTCTTGATATTATCAGCCTGGGGAGGTGATCCTAGTAAGCGTCAAGAAAATGTCTGAAGACCATAACACGGGTTGACCCAAGCAATGTTCATGAAATTTGGTAGACGGTACTGTCCGGAAGCCGTCGGTGGTTGTGCAAGCACGAAATCACAAGTCCTCGTGACTGAGGGTTTGAGAGTACTGGTGTTGTTCAGATTGTTGATCACACCAAACAATGCGGTATCTCCCAGAAACTGTAACTAAGGTTCGTAGTATAAACCACAGGCAGGCTATGTGGGTTTTGAACAAACACAAATGTGCCTGAGCGAGAGTCTGCAACAGGGATTGGCCAGCCACCTTTATAGATTAGCATACAACATATAACCAGCCATTATAGGAATAATGTCCTTTTTTTCACTCCAGTCAAGGCAATAAAGCCACTAGGACATAAGAATTTTAGAGAATATGAGAAAAACTACTATTAAGGAGAGAACTTTTATTGTCAATAACATAAAAACGGTCGGTTCCCGTAAAATTTTAATGTTATTTTCGAATTAAGCATGTAAATTTTCACCTAAATGGAACTATTCTGGAAATTTTCGATTGAGATTGAGCGTGGGACTTAAACTACAAATTACCCTGAAAAAAGTAAGCAAATTTTACTCATAAAGTAAAGATTAGATTTTTTTTTTTTTAGAGAAATCCTTCCTCTTCAAAAGAAAATAACTAAAATTTCTAACTTTAATTTGGGTTATATTTTAAGCATTTGATGAGTTAAAACATCTGTCGGAGTTAGCTCCTCCTTAATTCCCATATTGTCACCAGGGGTCTCTCTCCCCATACTACAAATACTAAGAAACTTCTTGCCGCATCCTTTTCTTTCCTTCAGGCCTCGTGCCGAATCCCACCTCGCGTGGTGGTGAGGTAAATCTCTCTTTCTTCTTTATTTCAGCGACAAGATGTAAGCTCTTAGAAGGTCAGCGTTTCCCATTTGTGGGAAAACGCTATGAACATTACAAACATTCACCAAAATACGAACATTCACCAAAATACGAACACAAATGTTCCCACACACACAAATGTTATGTCTATGTGCCTTGTAATTTGTTTAATACATATTTGTTGATATATATATATATATATATATATATATATATATATATATATATATATATATATATATATCTGTCTTGTCTTCTTTCATCTTCGGTTGGACAGATTAAGTCCGCCAATTTTCATGTTTCAGGTCATCCCATGAGTTCTGTCCGAATTTTAACTTTTTGTTAAAATGAACGAAATTTAAAGAGTATTTTATAATGTCTAATTATTTTTATGTTTAGATGCATTTAAACTGATCAAATTTTATTTCAGAGAACAATAAAATTAAATTTTAAAACCCTGCTAATATGGAAGTACCCAAGAATCATTTGAGGCACATAATGAGTTCAGGAAAGGAAACTCAGCCAAAGCGGCTAGAAGCATTCACTCAGTTTATGGAGAGGAATGTGTGAATGAAAGAACTTGCAGAAGATGGTTTGCAAAATTCAGAGGTCGAGATTTCACCCTTGAAGATGAAGATCGAACCGGACGTCCAGTTGAGTTTGATGAAAAGCTTCTTGAAGCAGCTTTTGAAGAAAATCCTGCTTTATCAGTTGAGGAATTGGTAGTGGTTCTCAGTTTAAACCATACAACTGTTCATCGTCATCTTCAACAACTTGGAAAAGTTCCTAAACTTGGAAAATGGGTGCCTCATGAATTGTCTGAAAACAACCTCAAATCCCGAGTTGACATCTGCTCTTCTCTCCATTCTCGCCAACTTGTTTCGCCTTTTTTGGATAGACTTGTGACTGGCGATGAAAAATGGATCTTTTATCGAAATGTTAAGCGTCGTAGACAGTAGCTTGGTAAAGGGGAAGGACCCCAGCCACAGCCGAGAAGGGAACTTCATGGGCAAAATTTTCTTCTTTCAATCTGGTGGGATCGCCAAGGAATAATCCACTTTGAATTCTTACCACCTAATGCAACAATTAATGCTCAAATATACTGTCAGCAATTAGAGCATTTGAACCAAGCTTTGAGGAAAAAAAGACCTGCTCTAGTGAATAGAAAAGAGGTGATGTTTCATCAGGACAATGCGCGACCCCACACAGAAAGAATCACGTCACAAAAGATCGAAGAACTTGGTTGGGAGAAAATTCCTCATCCACCTTATTCTCCCGATCTTGCTCCTTCAGACTACCATTTGTTTCGTAGCTTACAGAATAATTTGGAAGAAACAGCTTTTGTAACACAGGAAGAGGTTAAAACTGACATTTGTGAGTTCTTCGAATCAAAGCCAAAAGAATTTTACAGTAATGGAATTAGTAAGCTTGTTAATAGATGGAAGGAAGTCATAGATAATCAGGGAAAATACATTGTTGATTGAATCTGTAATTAAATGTAATATTTGGTCACTTGTTTTCTTTATTCAAAATTCGGACAGAACTTATGGGATGACCTGATAGTTGGACCTATTAATATTCTACCAGGAGTTACACACGTGTCTCTAATACAACAACACGTAAATACACACACGGTCCCATACACGTCTACATCTTGAATTACTTAATCCTAATTAAATGATAGATTGATTTTTTTTTACAGTTTATCAACCTTTAATAGGTTATTTAAAGCCGAAACATATCTTTGAAATGTACCAATAGATTTTTTTTAATATTATTTTGCGGGAAGAAAATAATGATTTGCAGATACAACCTCCTACTATCTAACTGAGTGGAGAAGATGCGCATTCATACCTTTCCCAAGAGTGTTTGCGCGTAATTGAATATAACGAACCCGACTGGAATTCAAACTCAACTCTCCGATTTCTAATTCCGAGTTCTTATCCATTACACTACTCTCACATCCTAGCTTACAGTACCTGGTATTCCCAAGCGGTCACCTCTCTAGGTACTGACCAGGTTCGACGTTGCTTAACGTCGGTGATTGAACAAGAATCGATGTTTCAATGTAATATGACCGTAAGCCCTGATGCTAATTAAAAAAAAAAAACAGTATACGTTGACTTCATCACAATTGTATTTTTTTTTTTTCATTTCAGCAAACTGTACAAAAACTAGCAATAAAATTTCTTCTTCTTGACAGACATTAAAGAGTATCTTCATTTCTTTATTTTTCCAAGATTATAATTATTTACCCACTGCCCTACGCAGCAAGATGTGGCACAAGGCCGAGTTTTAAAGTGGGATATCAGAGCCCGTAGGCTCGGACAAAAATTTCGTATAGACCACGTAAAAACGGAGTCAGTTTCCCGAGACGAGACTCTGCCCTTCGGCAGATCCTCGTCTGGGGGATACCCTCTGACATAAGCCAGGATTATATCGGTAAATTCAACTTCCTCTTCTTAGCCCGCTACTATATTTCCAAGGGAGTATCTTGACACGCATTACTTAGTAGCCAACTATGTAAATCGCGCCAACCTCTTTCGTCTGATAATATAACTGGAAGCTACAGACGAATGTGACCTCAAATCTATTCCTGAAATTAGTAACTGCAATCCAACTACGTGTTATAAATTGATAAACCCGATATCAAGCAATGTAACTATCCCATCAAATTGGTGGCCTCGATTCTATGAACACGACCTTCAGTACAGAGATTTGCAAATGTGCAGTTAATTGGCTGTCTCCTTGGATATTCTTCAAGACTTTAAGATTTCAAAATTTGAGTTAAATTATTTTGATTAAAGTCGATATTCACTCGCTGAATTTTCAAAATGGATATGTTTTAATTAAATTTTAATTAGATTTGATGAAACAAAACAGTTCAAAGCATACATTCGATTTTTAACTGAAGAACATGCGGGACAAGTATGGAGCTTTGCACTGGCAAATGAGAGACAATTAAAACAAAATCAAACAAATTAAGAATCTAACAGAATACGGGTCGGTATTTCAGTTCAGTTATGTGCCATGCGTGATACACGCTTAAGCGATCATGTATCTTTCGATACATGACAGACGATTTTTTCCCGCCGTAGGTTACCATTTCTTTCTGCGGTAAGCCAGTGGCCATCCAAAGATATAGAACCCGGGCTGTCCTGCTATTTACACCTAGCTGGGAAGATCAGTTATGTGCCATGCGTAATACACGCTTAGGCAATCATGTATCTTTCGATACATGACTGACGAGACAGATTTTTCCCGCCGTAGGTTACCGTTACTTTCTGCGGTAGACTAGTTGCCATCCAAGGCTACAGAACCCTGTCTGTCCTGCTATTTACACATAGCTGGGGTGGTAGGGACAAGAGGAGGATTCATCCCTTTCCCAAGGCTATTAGCACGTAAGTGAATGTAATAGATTCGACTGCAATTCCAAAACGGCTCTGCGATTCCATGAAAACAGTCAAGTCAGTTATGTGCCATGTGTGATACATGCTTAGGCGATCATGAATCTTTCGATAGATGACTGACAAGGCAGGTTTTTTTCACGCAGTAGGTTGCCATTTCTTTCTGCGGTAGACCAGTTGCTATCCAAAGCTATAGAACCCGAACTGTCCTGCTATTTACACATAGCTGGGAAGAGAAAAAGAGGATTCATACCTTTCCCTTTATTGGCACGTAAGTGAATGTAATGGATTCGACAGGAATTTGAACTCGGCTCTCCGATTTCTCAGTCCGAGCCGCTATCCATTACCCCACCGTGCCTAATTCTAAATAAAAGCAAAGATATCAAATATTGATTTTTACGTCTTCCTTTCCGCTTGAAAGATTGTCGTGACATAATCTTCCTTGCATCTGTCAAAGAATGGTGATCAATGTGGCTGAAAAGACCATTACTATCGATCCTCAATGTGATCATCCTTCCCTCAAGCCTATAGCCTTGAGTCATATTAGTCCGTTATATATATATATATATATATATATATATATATATATATATATATATATATATATATATATATATATATAATTAATTCGTCGAGCCTAGAATAATACTCAACAGAATGAAGAAAACACTGGAAGGCCGATTCGTCCTATCAACAGCGCACATCCCCTATCGAGAATCGAACCCAAACCGTTTCGATACAACGTCGTACCAACTGTATCACGGGCCTCGGTGACGAAGAAGACACAAACTAAACTCAATTCTGCAGCGATAATCATCCAAGTATTCAGATAACCTCGGAACTGTGCCCCAAGAGCCACGACTGCTTTATGAACCTTAGCCGCTTCATGGCAGAGCTGGGCCTAGCAAGAATATGCAAGTGATTATTTGGGGGATTTAAGCTAATCATATAGTAATTCGTCGAGCCTAGAATAATCCTCAACAGAATGCAGAAAGCACTGGACGAGTCTAGTTTGTGTCTTCTCCGTTACTGAGGCCCGTAGTACAGTTGGTATGACGTTTGCGTTGTATCGGAACGGTCCGGGTTCGATTCTCGGTAGTGGATGTGCATTGCTGATGAGTCACAGAATGCAGAATTATTTTGATGAGTCACAGATAGGACGAAACGGCCGTCCAGTACTTTCTGCATTGTGTTGAAGATTATTCTAGGCTTGACGAATTACTATATGGTTAGCCTAAATCCCAGAAATAATCACGTGTATGTATATATATATATATATATATATATATATATATATATGAAGAAATATGCGCTTAAGGTGTGCTGTATTTATGGGATAAAGTGCTCAATATCAGAGATAAAGCGTGTGTAAATTTAAAAGTGAACATTGAAGTCCACGCTTAGAGGCGACAGTCTATTTCATGCTAGATGCAATCGTCAGGCCTGACGATTGCTTCTAGCATGAAACAGCCTGTCGCCTCTAAGTGTTGACTTCAATGTTCACTTATATATATATATAAGTGGATCTCTGTGTGATACCTTTTCACTCTAGATGCATCCAACCAATTTTGACCAAACTTGGCACTACATTGTATAATGTCTTAGCTTAAAAAATCGATATTTTTTTAAAGAATCAATAATCGATAAAGCCGATCAAAAATCTATAAATTCAAATTTTTTCCTCCAATTTCGTTCAAACACGGTATGTAGGTTACTTACATCATGACCAGCTCAAAGATAATTCATTTTTATTTCTACGCCACTGCATTTAACGAAAAACCCTGAAAAACGAAAAATTCGATTTCAATACAAATTTTAAACTAAATACTTTTTCCAGCAATATAATACAAACTTCACTCAATTGTAGCCAACAATAAGTTGATTGTTTAACAGTCATTTAACTTGATAATTGAGTCCACCCATATAATGAAAACCAGCATAAATAGGGGGAAATGGCAATTTTTACTGGTTTCTTTCTTATTTTTCGTTGACCTTTCAAACAATTTTCATCAAACTTAACAACTGCTTTACAAATGTATCCTCTTTTACATCCCTGGTAGCACGCTAACAAATTGAATTTCAAAAACTCCAAAATAATTGTAGTCTGAAATGGGTCTTCATGTTGCCTGTTTTACCGCTTCATCTCCTCGGCTAACTTCGATTGAATAAATACAGACTACTTCTGTTATATCAGTAACTGCATTAATTCAAAATAATTTTTAATGAACGTACTTTAAAGTAATTGAAGAAGATAGACTCTGTTACATCTAAATATGATGCTATTTTTGCTCCATTCTAATTGAACGCTTTTTCTGATCGACCAGCTTGGTATGACTGCTAGTATATATGTAAACAAGAAATTGAAAATGTAAGCGCAACAATCCTACTGGACACTTTGGCCAACTTTACGCAAGCAGTAGTTAGTACTAATAAATTTCTGGAGTCTAAAGGCCGCCACTTTGAGAATTTCTTGTGGTTATAGAGTCCAAATGTAATTTGTATTAATCTTGTGATGTCTGGATAAATTTAATATTACAATATCTATACAGAATTTTCCTTTCCTGAAGTCTGCATATATTTTTTGTCCGACTCTGTATATATGATAAATATGAGCCTTGTGTACGCGAAACACTGAAGACGGTCAAAACATAACAATATATCGTAAATAAAGGGTGTTCCAATAACTTGGACTAATATTTAATGTGAATTAAGTTTAAGGGTCTAATGATTTTTTTCTTTTGCTTTCAGATTCAATAACTTAAGTCATTGGCAATTTCAACCATGGAAAGATTAACAATCAAACAACGTGTTAAAGTTATCGAAGCCAATTACGAAAATGGACGTTCAAAGAGAAATGCATTTCGCGCATATCGTCAACATAATCGACCAACCGAAAGTGCAATTGGAAAAAATTGTTCGTAAATTCAAACAAACTGGGTCGGTGGAAGGTGCGAAAACACCACTGCGTGCTCGTTTACGCCGTTCAGCTGAAAACATTGCTGTAGTGCACGAGAATGTGGCCGAAATTCCAAACGCCTCTATTCGTCATCGCTCGCAGGAAATGAACCTCTCCACAACAACGTTACATCAAATTTTGACAAAAGATTTGTCTCTACACACTTACAAAATTCAATTGACACAAGAATTGAAACCTGCTGACCATTTGGAGTGCCGTACATTCGTCAATTGGGTGCACGAACAAAAAAAAGGCGATGAAGATTTTTCGCATAAAAATCCTCTTTAGTGATGAAGCCCATTTTCATATTGGTGGATTCTTTAATAATCAGAATTGCCGCATTTGGGCTGATGAAAATCCAAGGAAGATTGTTGAAAAGCTACTGGATCCACAAATGTCACTGTTTGGTGTGCATTTTTTGCTAGCGGAATCATTAGGGCGTATTTCTTCGAAAATGATGCCGGGAATTCTGTTACGATGACAGGCGAGTGATACCGTGCCATGATAACCAATTTTTTATGGTCTGAATTGAATGCTATGAAGTCGAAGATTTGTGATTCCAACAGGACGGCGCCATATGGCACAATGGCGTTATTGAATGAGAATTTCCCATCATCTCTCGAAACAGCGAAGTCAATTGGCCACCACGATCGTGCGACTTGATGCCTTTAGATTTCTTCCTTTGGGGTCATCTGAAAAGTAAGGTCTATGCCAACAAGC